AGCGCCGAGGGAGCCCCGCACCGTCGGAGGGTCAGCGCCGAGGGAGCCCCGCACCGTCGGAGGGTCAGCGCCGAGGGAGCGCCGCACCGTCGGAGGGTCAGCGCCGAGGGAGCGCCGCACCGTCGGAGGGTCAGCACTGAGGGAGCGCCGCACCGTCGGAGGGTCAGCGCTGAGGGAGCGCCGCACTGTCGGAGGGTCAGTACTGAGGGAGCCCTGCACTGCTGAGAAAGGAAGGAGTGCAGGGAGAGGGGGAAATGGGGAAGAGGGCAGGCCTGGGGTGGGGAGCTGAGGAGAGGGCAGGCGGCAGGCTGAGAGACAACACGGGGCCGGGGGTAAGAGCCGAAATAGTTTGGGCACAAGGGGCAAGGCTAAACCACTTCTGAAAAAGTTTCGCAGGGTTTTTGGAAGGGCTAAACAATAAATAGGAAGTTCACCCAGAGCCCAGATCCCCCCGCCTTGCCGACCCCTCTGATCTACTTACCTCCTGGAGGTGAAGAGCTAAAGACGAGGTGCGTTATTTCAGCTGTGAACTATCTGCGGCCCCACACATCCCCTGAGCCGGTGCTTGTGAAATGTGGCCCTTACCCCCTCAGTGACCCTGCCCCCGGAGGAGGCGGGGGGGGGGGGAAGCACTCGGAGCCTCTCCCGGCTTGGCTTCAGGACAAGGAGCAACTGGCGGCAAGTGGAAGCAGCGCCAGGGGCTCAGTCCCGGGGAATGGCATCGCGGAGACCCACTTAGTTACCCCTACCCCAGGAATACCCTGATAACCCCCCCCCCCCTTTCCCCGCCGGATTACTTGCCCCAGATACCCCGTCTAATTCTCTCACTGATCCCCACCCCAGTCCCCGATCTCCCCTGATCCCAGCAGATCGTCCTGAGAGCCCCTATTCCCCCCTCCCCCCGGAATAAAAACCCCCGAAAGAGAAAAACAGAGAAATACCCGGATCGGGGCTGGAATGACATCACCGGCAACCAATAGGCAGCTGCCACGTCACGCCCTTCAACATGAAACACACACATTGGCAACATTGGATCCGGAAAGCGCGCCAGGACGGAGAGGGATCCCTGCTGGGATCGAGTGGGTTCGCATTGGAATACAGAGGGATCCCAGCCGGGATCAAGAAGGGACGCCCTAAAGGCTGGAAGTGGGTCTCCATTGGAATGGAACGGGTTCACACAGAGTTCAGTTCCTGGTCAGGATTCCTGATGGGACCATGTGGGAGCCGGCTGCTGTTTGAGAGACATGCTTGTGGTATCATCATTGCACATGACCTGGACAGTCTAAACATCTCATTCCCGTCTTCCTTAAGATACCTGACAGTCTACTGGAAGCGTAACATTTAGTTGGAAACTAATTGCTTAATATTATCCCGGATACTTGAGAACTGCAACATTTGTACATAATAACTTGTGGTAATAAATGTCTGCCAGGTTCTTCCATACCTTGACATCCATACCCAATTTCTTATGGTAGGGACGTAACACACTATTGCCAGATGGTAAAACAGTCCAACAGGAGGCAAAGGCAGGGATTGTGACCAAGGTGGGTTTTCCTATGAGATCAAACAGGATCACAGGGGAGCGGATGTTTGTGGATGGTAGAAGGTGGATAGGAATGTGGAATCTGAAACACAAACAGATCATCCACAATCTTATTAAGTTGGTGGAACAGGCTGAATGGTCTGATTTTATTCCGGTTTTGTACATTTGTATATAAACGCAATCCCAGTGGGATCTGGGTTCATATGAGGATCAGTATTTGAACACGATTCTCAAAGAGATTGATTGAAATCTAGCATTATGCTGATCAGGAATTTGGTATGACGGTCAAGAGATTAGAGTGGGATCTGGGAATCCTTTGAGACTGGAACGTGGGTGGGATTCCTAATGGGTTGAAGCAACATGAGATTACACTGGGATTTTTGCCTGGGCACGAAACCCAATGGGATTGAGTGAGGTGCTGAATCAATCAAGGATTAGGATCCAGACAGGATTCCCAATTATATCACTTTGTGGATCAAAACCTCAGCAGCATTCTCAATGGGCTCACATAGAAGATGAGGAAGCTACAGGATTGAGACCCAGGATTCCCAATAGGGTCATGAGAGTTTAAAGTTATTACATACCTCCCAAATTGATCACACGGGTCCGGGGTCATGTGGGATCATGGAC